CATTTTGATGAACGAGTTCGAACAGGAGAGTTCGCAAGGCGAGCATTTGTGCCTATAAAACTTTAACTTTTTTATTTATTTTTGAAATGACAGATCGTTTCTCTAGATAAGATCCTTATTCATCGTCTGGTATCGTTTAAGGCCCTTTGAAGCTGAACTGAAACGGTCATTTAGACCTTGAACCGTTTGGCTACCATTGAAGTCCATTATATGGAGAAAAATCCTGGAATGTTTTCATCAAAAACATTAATTTCTTTTCGACTGAAGAAAGAAAGACATGGACATCTTGGATGACATGGGGGTGAGTAAATTATCAGCAAAAGTTTTTTAAAAAGTGAACTACTCCTTTAAGTGATGCAATGTTTGAAATACTTTTTTTGTTATCAGAAATTATTACTGTAAATTATTACCTTTTAAAAATGTACTGATACGACTTACGTTTTTATGAGTAAGTGTACATAACTTTAAACATACATAAACATATATGAGCCAAAATTTGCTAAGTGATGATTAAATGTAACAAATCATGTCATAAAAATCACAATATTTCATAAAAATCACCTGTAAAGTTTATTATATCAGCATATGAGAGTGGAATTGGACTCAAGATCACTCATTTAACAGTTCATCTATTGCCAAAAAGATCAGCCAAGTATAGAAAATTATTGAAAACATCCAGTAGTGTGGGTTTTTAATGCGCGACTCGCTGGACCTCTGCTTCGCGTAGCTAAATACTACCGTGTATTGTGCACGTAATTTGTTGACAGATATCGATGTTGTGATATATTTAAATTATGTGGATTTGAAAGCAGATGGATCCTAAGGTAATAATTCTTTATTTCTTAGCTGGCAAGTATTCAGTGAAGTGATTGATGCCCATGAGTGTGCCCTAAACTGCTCCATGTTTTTAGTTCTAATATTCCAACCGACAGTCAGCCTACATTTTTGACGGACGTGATAATGTGGTAAACGAGGTGAACTATGTTTGATTTTTTCGTTTAAGTATAAAACGTTTGAAATGCTTTTTGCACAGTTCATTAGTTATTTTATGGAAATTAGTTAATTTTGTTACTCAGAGACTGACATGTTTGGCTTGTCAAAAACGTTACATTCAGCTGTCGCACATTTGTTGACTTTTGAAAATCAAGAAAGGAAAGGAGTGGTTTTGATGAACAAAGTTGTTTTTATTGTCTCTAATAACAAAAATCTTTTATTTTTAACCCATGAAAATGCAGATTTTAATTGTAAAATCACTTTTTAAAACTGTTGCTCTAGGTATTATTAGGCCTGACTCATATTGAAAGGTATAGCCTACTATTAATTTCTTTATTATAAGTAGGCCTAATATAATAAGTCATTTCTATATTTTTGAATATTACTTGCACCACATACACTGTAATACTTTTTAAAGGACTGAGATATTTTGCAAATGTATTATACTTCCTAAAATGGAATCATAACAATAAACATATATTATGGAAAAAATTGAAGGTATAGGCCTAGTATTTGTTGCAAAATCAGGCAAACAATATATAACAAAAGCAGGCTTTTAACCTACATCCATTGGCTCTTCCAATATCTTTAAATCTGGAGTCAGTGTTGATGCAATACTCTTTCAAAATGAATTCAAATCTTGATGAAAAATCAGATTGGAGTTCTTAAGGTTTTAAGGTTTAATAAGGGTTTTCAAGTGTCCTCGCGTGTACTCTTGCACAATCACAATTCAACTTGCTGCATGCTGCCAGCCGGAAGTATCTTGTTGGTACGTAATCTTCTCCAAAGCCTTTATTCATCACACACAGCAGTGATACAAGAGCAGGAACAGATTTACCGGGTAATTAGGATTGGTTCTCTGTGTCTTACTGATTGGTGAGCAAATGTTCTCTATCTTGGTTATGCATAACATCCGCCTACACAACGTAGTATGAGCTGGTATTAGTTACATCAGTGATATTGTGGTTGTGATTGACTGCAACGTATTCTCGCTCTAGTTGAAGACACACAATGCTGTGCTGGTACATGGTAGGACTGTGATGTCAGAGACTGGTTTCTGAATTAAACATCAGCACATGAAAACATCAAACATGAGAAAGGAACCTGGAATGAGATCTGTGACAAACCTGAATCTCTCTCTCCCACAGGGCGTTCCTTCCAAGGGTGAGATGACGCACGGGGTGGTCACTTAAAATGCTGGAGTCAATGCATTGTTAATGTGAGGAGGATTTTTGATAAGCCTAACTGAAGCACAGCGTCACTAAATTATCAGAGGACACCTGCAGAGTTTCACAATTCCCAGGCTGCATGCGTGTTTTCTGGATAATTATGCTTTGCATGCACATTTCCACTGTTAAGATATTGTGTTTTCTTTTGTACTATACAACTTTTTTGCTCAATGCACGTTTCGAGACGTTGCATTTAGATTCTTTATATAGTAGTTTAACATAACACTTGTGTCTAAAGACAGAAGAGAGGCACTGGGGGTTGCATTCAGGTTCACTTCTTTTAAATGGCCTAAAGCACTGGCTTTTATCTGGAGTCGTTACACACCAGGCTTTCACATGGTTTCAGGTGTTAGCTACACTTGAAGATCGCACCATTGTGTGTTTCCACGGAAGCTCTGCCAATGGCACATTCCATAGCCAACTAGACTAAACCTTCAGATGACCTGATTTGTGAGTGATAGCCATTCATTTCCTGTCTCTTTCTTCTTTCCCCTGTCTTAGGCTGTGTTCGGAATGGAATACTACTACTAGCGTACTAAATATTATAATTGCACTGCCTACGATTTTTCAAAACTTGACAAAATGCAACTATAAACAGTGGAACGTTGTTGTCACATGACCTGATTGATTATGTTGAATGTGATCCATATGTGTTCTATATAAGTTTTTATTATGACAGATCAAATAATAGTCCCTTTTACACAGCAATCCTGGTAAATTACTATAAAATTACCAGAATGACTTTTCCGGTACATACACAAATGCACTATTCGCACAAGCAACTTATTTTTCCCGGTAAGATACCATTCACACATCAGTACCACTACCACATTACCGGTAAACTCATCGGAAATTACCTTTAAATAGGAAATCTTCATCCACTTGAATAAGGAGAAGAGCTTTAGTTTTTGGTCCTTTTTTATTTTATTTTTTACTTCTGAGTGACAGACGTGAGGGGATGATCACACAGAATGCAGTTTTGCTCTGCGTTTGAATGAAAAAATACGAGTCGCATAATATTTATGACAGCATCATACTGGTAATTTACTGTTAATGTTGCAACTTCTCATACCGGGAAATTGCCAGAACAGATCACAGTTGAAAAGGTCCTGTTCACCCATGATCTCTTTACGGTAATTTACCAGTAAAGACTGTGACCCCATTTACACCTGGCATTAAAATGCGATCTGTATCCAGATAAGTTATCCGGATAGTAAAAAAACGCATGTTAATGCAAGGTATAAATACGTTGTGATCGGATTGTGATCGGATCTGCCTGACCACATCTGGAGGTAGTCTGGCTCGCATTGTGTTCGGATCTTTAGGTGTAAACGCAATCCGTACGACGTGATGGCATTCGTACCTGCCAAACGTAATTTTTTTTCTGGAGGACAGAGATCCGAACTCAATGTGGATAACGAGAACGCATTAAAAATACAAGGTGTAAACGCAAAGGTAAGATCAGAACACTTATTATCCGGATAACTTATGTGGATACAGATCTCATTTTAATACCAGGTGTAAATGGGGTCTGTGTGAAAAGGGCTAAAGATTGTCACTACTTCCAGTTCATTCCCACAATGCAATACATCAATGCACTTTCATTTCCAGGAAGGTCAAGATGCAGTTTGGGATACAGTTTGCATTCTACATATTTTGGAAATGTATAGGTCTGCAGGTATTTCATGCATACTGAAAACTGGCATAATGTGCACAGTATACATACCAGATATAGGGAATGTTATTCTGAACATAGCACTAGTGCTCTGCTTTGACCACCTTGTAGAGTTATGAGAATCAAGGGCCATGGCCTAGAAATACTCAAAATGAGAAAAGAACTCAAATGAGTTTTGAATGACCCAAAATTGCTTAGATACATTTAATGTGCTAAATGGAGTCTAGAGGGTGGAAGGGTGGTAAAGCTGGCAGGGAAAATGACTGTTTCATTTAAGATGGAATGCTATATGGTGGGATGAATTGCCTACAACTATTTGCTGGAATGCTTGTTTTGGGAAAGACTCTAGCGTGCCGTAAAGTAGCATTTCATTGAAACGTGTCCTGCAGTGCACATTAAGGCTGTATAATAAATCAAAGCTGTACAGCCCAGTTACACTACTCAGTGTGCCTGTCATGAAATAAACACAACAGAGCACATGGAGGTGATGTAGAGCTGCAGCGTGCAGAGAGGAATTCTGGGATTTGAGGATGTGTGACACTAGAGACTGTAGCTTTTTCTTGCCCTCAGGGGTCAGACATGCTGTAACATGATCCTGCTGTGTTCTGATCCTGCTCTCCCTTAATGCAAGACCTGTACCACTGGAACCACCTGTTTCTTTCTCTTCCATCCTTTCTTTATGCATTCTCTATTCTCATCTATCTCCATCACCACCTTTTGTGCTGGAGATCCCCAAAGATGCATAAAAGACTCGATGCATAAAAGACATGAGAATTAATTGGTTCTTGTTCTCTTTTGAATCTGAGCTCCTCTGTTTGTCTTTACTTCAGGTCTCCCTCCTCACCGCAGAGTCATGCGATTTATTGTCCATTTATACTCATCTGCTGCAATATTACAGTGAAACATCGGACATGTGACGCACATTACGCCGGTAGCGGTGATTTATTTGCCACACAGTCAGCGAGTTTGCTATTTAATCATTCTGAACATCAAATAAGCCATAATAACTCAGTTAGTGTCTTTGAGTTTATATAAGAGGTAGAGATGTGATTTCTTAAGTTACATGATTTTCTGCTTAAGGTTTGAACAGTCTAATATTAACACATCTTCAGAAGTTATCCGACCACTACACACCTATATGATATCATATAGTTAGCAGTTTAAGTATTTGAATGGATTGGAGTTTTACCATTTATAATGGTAAACACAGTTACAGTCTCATCAGAAGGTGCTTGACGGTCTCGTTCGCAGAACCAGGATCTAGACCCAAATCCTGAAGTACAACTTGCTTCTGAAAGTCCTGGAAATGAAAAGTGAGATGCATTAATATCTGAGATGATACATGAAGATACATTGTAGGTGAGCTTCCTGAACTTTTATGGACCATTTTCTGTGTGTTGCAATGGTGTTTTATTTAAACATGAAATTTGAATAATATGTTATGAAATTTTCATGAGCATTTTTTGGTGTCTGTAGATGTAATCTGTGCCTGTCTATTGCTGCGAGTCAGGTAGGTATGGTATTGGTTAGCATACCTTGCATTAGATACGTTCAACATCTGGTCACATTCAGTCATACTGCTTTTGGGCCTCATATTTGTACCTGGGAATAGTAGTGTTTCTGTGTGTGTGTGTTGGTCTGTCTGCATGTGTGTCTACTCTGGACAAACCTCACCCTAAATTCTCGTAGTCGGTCTAGTTTTGCACGGATGGTCTTGCGTTGGACAGTCAGCTCGGCCACATGACTTTTCCACTGTTCTTCTTTCTCCTTTCACAGACACAAATACACATCATGTTCATAGTTCTTGAGAGGGTCAGAAATGGTGAAGACAGGATTCTAATACTGGGTTTATTGAGGGGCATCAAAGTCCTTTTAGGCAAGTCATGCCACTCGGCCGCGTTGCCATCTTGGCAATGCCTCCGGGCAGCTATTTCGGACTAACAAGACCAGGCTCCTATCTAAATGAATGGGCAGAGAGTCAGAACTGCACTTTCACTGGTCACCGGGACATAAAAACTGCTTGTATAGAAACAGCAGTAAAATATGATCAAAATCGCTGACAAAGTTTGATGACTTTGCCCCAAAATAAGGTTTAAAAGGTCTTTTTTTACCCACAGGTTATACGTTTACTACGCATGCGCAAGGGTTCTCGTCTCCGCTGTCGCAAACCTCAACTGTGCGCATGCGTCAGTGGAACCAGACGATATGCTTACATGTTTCCCGGCTTGACTGTTAAAAGCAGACGATTGGCTTTCCAGCGGGAGGGGCGGGGCATGTGCATACAACCGCCATCTTTGGCGTTACGGGTTTTCCCTATAGTTGTATTGAGGATTGAGAGAGTGGCATGTCTCTATATAAATGGTCTCTGGGGGCATGCAGCTTTGTAATAATATTAGGCTGTTATGAAACCATTCATTTTGATAATAGCATTAAGGGGCTATATTTATGTTGCAGTTTCCTTTTAAACTCTTCAGTCTACTTATAATGTTAGTCAAGGAATCTTTTACCAAATTTAGCCTTACGTAACATTTTCCATCCTCTTTGTCTCTTAGAAATAAACTGCCTGTTTGTGCTATACAGTGGTGGACAAAAGTGATGTCTGAAGGGCATGTTTGTTTTTAATGACCCATGTTCGATTAAACATCAAAATATGAGATAAATATTTTTTAAATATGAGGGAAGAACAAAACATTAAACTTGGTCAAGGTATTTATCTGACAAACTACAGCAGGTATGCAAAAAATGCATTGAAAAGGCAAAAAGCTCACATCAGGAAAAAGCATACATTGACTACAACATAATCAGTTGTTAATATTTCATTGGTATGTTCAAACTTTTTTTGTATGACTGCCCGGTAAAAAAATGCCTCCACAATTTGTCATGTTTTATTGCGTTATCAAATAAAACAATCGTCTCCAGTCCAGGCACAACGTCGCAATATGCTTACAAAATCTTTAACAAATTCTTAATATATTCAGACAAAGGGTGAAGATGTCAATTTTCTAAAGCCGAACATCACTTTTGGCCACTACTTTACTTTTAAGACAATATTCAAATGACTTCTTTTATGATCGGCTAATCTCTTCGCATGTAAATACTTTAATCGTAATCAGAATGTTCCAAGTTGCTTGATACTGATTAGGCATTAAAATGTTAATCTGACTTGTTATATGTTAGTGTGCACATGGTTGTGATGTCAATATAATGATTATTTCTGAATTATTTAGTTTCCATAAATGACTATAGTGACAATGACTATATAGGTCTCAAAGTAGAAAACTGGTTTGATCTTCAGCAGAAATTACATAGTTCCAAACTGTCTGATGTTATTTCAAGCTTCTTATAGCTTAGAAGCAAGCCTGTGTGTCCGAGGGCCGATGCAGTGAGGTAGACCCTGATGTAGGGCTGAAGGAATGAGGCTAGGCTTGACTTTGACCTATGTAGGCTTCAGCCAGATCTTCTGTGGGTGCTACTTCCCGTCTCTAATGTGATAATATAGGCCAGGCAGCAAACGTAGCTGTACTCGGCATATGGAAGACGTTGAAACACATTGCCTTCTATTCAAACTAATAAGAGGAAAAAAAACAGGCCGTAACACCTCTTCCCTCAGAGGATTGAAACAGTCACAGGCTGTTCTCTACTAGTAACACACACTCACAAACACACGGAGGGTGAGGTTATCCGTTGGGATCTGAGGTTCGGGGGATGTAGGTTATGAATGACAACAGGATCAAATAGTACGCACATGGGAAACAAAAGTAAGTACTTCTTCCCTGACCCTTCTGTACATTAATCAGAGGACGGACACGCTGCAAACCTGAAAACTCCCCGGGAGACTGAGCAGCTGGAGAGGAAGGAAGTGAGAGCGGTGGACTGTCTGTGTGTAGCCTTTAGATATTAGAAAGACAGAACTCAAGGCTATTCCACTGACTTGACTGAGAGTCTTTTTTTTTTTACTTCATCCCATTGGGGTTTCTTCATAAGCGAGCGTGGAGTTAAAAAAGGCGTTGCAGGAATTCCTCAAGCTGTTGAATTTATGACAACGGCCAATGGACAACAACAACATGACTGTCCTTCAGTGACCTCACACTTGGCTGTTAGACTTGGACTTTACTGGCAGCAGACCATGTGCAGCTGGGGGCTTCATCAACTTACACAAACACAGTCCCTGAGCGTCCTGCACAACAGCTACACGGTAGCATGAGCTTTCCACTGTTGTATCTTGCATGCACGGTTTTAGTTTCATGCCCACAGTCCGTTCATAGTTCTCTCACTGATTGTTTGCATACACACCGCATGTAAAATCACAAGCTTGGGGTGCATAGTTTATCATCATTTCTTAAAGGGTAATAGACCCTTTTCACACAGTTTCAAAATTTTAATGTTTAAAAATGTACATTTATAACATATGTATTAGTGTATCAGTTAACGCTGCCATATTAGTGTTGCTAATACAACAGCTGATATCTTTCTCTCTTCTGGCCAATGAAAAAAAATTCTGAATATTTTATAGAAATGCTATTGTGGCTTCTTTCTTTCGCTATATTGGCAAATGGGAATGCAAATATATTTTGTAGTTTGTTTCCGATCATCACTATATAGGTTTATGACTTACTATGATGACTTGGATGACTTCCAGGCAGAACCCCAGAAAAGTGAAAAGGGTGCATAGGTTAATATTATAAATCATTTTGAGGTAAAAAAATATTTTTGTATTTGCCAAAGTTCACACGGTTTGTGGCTTCAAGTTTTAAAAAAATATTCAAGTTTTTGATGTTTACTGTACATTTATTCATTTAGCATACAAGTTAAATCAAAAGCGATTTAGATCATAAGCAATTTGTTATAAGAGCATTAATATTTGCAGTGACTAATTCCAAGTATAAGCTTTGTTTATGATTTAAATTTTAAATTTGAGTCACATACAGTATAGTGGCCAAAAGTGTGTCTGACCTAGGAAAATTGACTTCTTCACCCAGTATTTAAATATGACTAAAATGTGTTCAAAAGTTTTGCATAGCAAAATAAAACCCTTAGCTGTAGTTTGACTCATATTTTGATGGTTTAATCATTAAAAGCCAATATTACCTCCCGACCTCACTTTAGGTCACTAGTAGCATGCAAAGTAGATATTGACACGCCAAGCTGTATATTTTGCTTTGTGTTTCTGTCTGAAATAATCAGTATTAGTTTTGGATGGACAGCTATTGGACACTTTTCACAGATTTCTCCCAGTGTTTTCTGTTTAAATTTTCCTGGAGTCTGACGACAAGTTTTGGTTTTTTTTTTGTAGACTATCAGACTATTTTTAGTGGAATTATCTATTTACCCCGCTCCTAAATACTAGATAAAAACAAAGCATACTGTAGTTGATTTTTTTGACATGCCAGTCAGAAGGTTATCAGCCAGAAAAAGCTGATTAAAGCAGAGCAGACTCCACCTGCGCAGACTACCAAAGTCCTGTTTTTTAAATACTTTTATAGCAGAAATGATTGCATTAGTGTGTTTACCTGGGTAACCTGGCCTTACAATACAAAGGTCACTGCATGTGCAGCCAAAGTTAGGAACAATGCAGACATAATGCAATCAAGCTCAATTAGCCTGACAATGTAATTCTGCCGAAGCAGGTCTGTCATCTCTGGACATACTCCGGCTGCAGATGGTGGAGACAGATATAATCAGTGTTATCACTGCAGACGGCAGTGATAGCCCTGCGGTGACTTTTTGACATTGGTCAACATACCTTCTGCCGTTCCTCTATCTCACGTTGCTTTTCTTGTTCCAGCTGCTCGTTCTCCAGTCGACGGCGGATCTAGCAGAACAGAGAATAACGTAAGCATCGATGTGTTCATAAACAGACTTGAGAGAAGGTAACAAGAAAACAAGTTTACGTTTACCCTATCTTCTTGCTTTCCCTCACACTCACTCTCCTGACATGTGCTCTCCGGACTCTTATCCTGCTTCCCAAGACTGTTTAAAAAAGTGTAGTCTTCCTCCTTACAAAGATCTCGCATGCACTGTGTGGATAGTAAAAAAATGCAAATGTTTTTATGTTATAGATGGCCAGCTGGTCACAGGCTAAATTTGCAGTCAAAGCTGTTTGTTTTTTTGCAAGTCTTTTTTTAAATGAATCTGATCTCATAGACCAAACATGCATGAAAAAGTTGCAATAGAAACATGAAAACCTTAGACATGGGAATTTGAGAAAATCTGTTCGCATGAGCCATCCTAAAAAAACAAAAACAAAGTAGAAAAGCCACATTTTTTACAGTCACGCAGTTTCAGAGAATTTCTTTTGTAAAAAGTTTTGTTACAACCATAAGTACATTTTCACTGTGTTTTAACACAACTACTGCACATACATATAGTATATCTCCTGTCTCCTTTCATATAACTGCATAATTTGTGTCAAATTCAATCGGATGAGAATATCTCGGCCAGCTCACCTGGACTGGAGTTGTCTCTTTGCGCTCTCCTTTCGTTTGCTTTCCTCTCCTTTTGTAAACCTCATACAAATTGTAATATACTGTGACGACGTGCAAAAGACATCATAGTTATTTCTGCACAAGGCTGCTAAAAAACCCACTGTGGTGCTAATAAAACTGTCCTTTCACTTTTGATTAATTGAATTGTCCCATGTCAATATGTTTCCTTCGCACTTCTGAACGAGGTTTCTGTTCGTACAGATCGACAATCAGCTTCCCTGTCTCAGACCATAATGTAGAAACCATAAGCCTGATCACAGGTCAGTATAAATGAACAGCACCTTCTAACAAATGCAATCAGCCTGCAGAAAACCCCAGAGGTCAGAGTTGATTTCAGTGATGTCATTGGATCTTTTGGAATGCATGGCTTCAAAACATGATTTGGTGGAGATGTGTTTGCGTGACACAGAGAGGCACTTTAGCAGAAACCAGAGATGTGACCAGCAAACCGAACCAAGAATGTAGATCATATGATGAACTTGTCTGTTGTGGAAGGAAAACATGTATAGGTTGTAGATTTCGGCCAGAGGAAAGGTATTTGGATTGTTTTACTACTTTTAACCGCTACAGCTTTCAGAGGCGCCGTGGTTTAGGTGTGAAGGTCAAGGGTTGAAACATCACTTTGACAACACTTTGAACTTTTAAGATCTGAAACAAGTTATTGCCAGTGTGTTTATTAATTGAAACACTTCTAAAGAGTATATGGACACTTATAGTTTTGGACCCCGCACTGACTTTCATTGTATGGACAAAAACAGTTGAAACGTCTTCTTTTATATTCTACAGAAGTCTGTCATACAGGTTTGGAATGACATGAGGGTACGGATTTTATGATTTTTGTGTGAACTATGCCTTGAAGTCACACTTAAAAATGTATGAATGTTATTGCATTATAAAATACTAAAAAATAACACAGACAGAACAAGCTCACTCTTCACATACAGATGTCTGTTTTTAAACTGTAGATTAAGTTTTTAAGTATTGACACTCTGATTTTTAAATGTTAAAGTGACCGTAGTTAAAGTGATTAACTACACCTGTGTAAATTTGAAGAGAAATTACTTAATACATCCATTAAAAATAATCAAAACAACAGTTGATTAAAACAGAAAAGTGAAGTTGCTCCTGCAGATTTGATGTGCCTTGTTTTGTTATCTAATGCAATGACATTCACTTATTGTAAAAAAAAAGTGTAACTTAAGTGTCCAAATGGTCAAATAAGGTCATTGGACCCTATATTGACTGCTGGTTATTGGACTGATATGGACATGTAAAGACCGCTGAACGCTGGCATTTTTTATCTTTTCACCTCATTTAACTCTTTTCAGCAGTGATTTTTCAAGTTCACTCCATCTCAGGCTTTGCTCTTAAGAACACACCGCAAGAGGATTATATGCTAATTAACCATGGCCCAGAGCTATTTTCTTCCTGTGGGTTCTGGCAAACGAATGTATTTATAGGTCACTGAAGGTTGTTTAGTCCTATGCTCCTTCCCCATGGTTTTAAAGAGACCATCCATGTTTGATTAGAAACACACAGATCATCTCACAATTCAAGGCTGGGAAACATTATCGGGTTCTTTTCTGGTCATTTGTGAATGATTGAAATGAGATATGTTAAACCCTACAGATGACAATATTCATAGATTCGCAAAAGGACATAATCAGCAGGAAGATTAAAAAAAAAAAACTTTATTCAGACAAATCTCACACAGACTGCCCTCGCAGCGAAAAGAGGAGGATGTTGTAGGCCAGATAAACAGCACTCCTTCAAGTATCAGCACGAGAAAGACATTTTGAGAGACATTACCATTATGGGAAAGTCTCTCTCTCTCAAAAAAAATAAAAAAAGAACATAAAACAAATACAAACAATGGGTAATGGCTACAGCCAATAACAACTACTTCACTAAACAACGACCACCAAGCAGACAAGTCTTTCTTCTTTACTAAAATAGGGACTTTCCTCGCAACTTTCTCAATTTAGACATACCGGAGATAATTGTCTGAATATTATTAAGAAGCATGTAGTCCTTAAATAGAGTTCGGTGTGTTTTGGCACAGTTTCCATTTCAGCATAAAAGAGTTATCCAAGGGTATCAGCAATGGCCGTTGGTCCATTATAAGGTCGGTTGTAGTGGTTTAAAGCAGCAAGAATCCTACACAGTATGCATGACACCAGCAGGGCTTTTCAAGACAGCATCAAATACATAGGAATGTTTCAGTGAAAGTCATCCAAGACTGAGCAAAGACAAAATAGTTTAGGGATCCTCATGTTCCAGTGTAATAATGTGTGTTACAGGAAAGGCAATGCATTTGGACAACTGTGTGGGCCATTCCCAGCAGTATCCTTGAAAGGTCCTGTGTTCAGCATTTTATCCTGTTTTTCCACAGAGGGACGAACTGAAGCGGGACGTAATCAGCCGTAATATTGAATTCGAAAAAGGTGTGTTGTATCCTTGGTGGTTTGTGGTTCTGTTTCGAATCTGAGCTGACACTCTCAGAACTTCACACCCAATACAAGCACTGGATATCCGGTCACAGAGTCAGAGCTTTGTTTAAAACAGTTCGTTCGATTTTAGTGCCTTTATCTGACCACCCTCTCGTGAAGCATGAAAATGCAATAAAACAAATTTTATATCAATCTTTTTATAGCCACATCATAATAAACGGTTGCATGCTAATAAAGTTTTATGTTCGGACATGGAGGACAAAGTCTTGGCACTTCACTTGATGTAGTAATGGGTTTGGACCTCATTCTGGCTTATCTTGCTATGCTGATAGAGAAGTAAATATGTGTGGGTAACTAAAAATAACATCAATCCCACAAATGTTGGGTCCTAAATGATGTTCCTTGGGGACACTTGGACAGTTCAGAGGTGACCCGAGTCACGTGTCACAAAGATAAGCCTGAACAAAAGCCGAGCCGCAGCTGCCTGGCTTTTAAAATGCTCTTCGTATGACCATGAAACATGCTGTCTATGCCTCTCATGCTTTGCTTTACGTGTTGTCTTGGGTAAATCATATTTATTGTGAAGCAGTACAAAGCACGTATATTTAATCAATTTGATGAAGAGGCTTACACATTTTGTCAAGTCATTGCGTATCGAACATCTTACTGCAGATAGCATAGAAATCTCTTCACCTTAGTGTCTCAAGACTATCGAGTGAGTAGGTCTCCTTATATAAACGTACAGAAGGAAAACATGGCAGGCCTTTTTATAGCCGCAGCACACCGGCGAAATGCTTATCTCCTAAGATGAGTCTGACAAGAGGGAAACCCTCTTAAGGGGGAGATTACGTGTTCAAATCCCAGCTCTGCATGCATGTACATCGTCTTATGGCAGCTTTACCTCTGTGTAAGACTACAGTGTCATTAGCAATGGCCCATTTAGTTGTCCTTTTGTTTACATGCTGCTCTTATTCATGCTGGCTTCGCTCTTTAAGTTTGTAGAGTAGCAATTGATCAAAGTGGGTGATCGAAAAGAGGCTAAAAGTGCACTAAGCTTATTTCTGGTGGTCGTGGTGGTCACACTGGACTCTGGCAGGCTGGGCGGGGCGGGGCTTCTGATGAAGGGTGTGGCCAGTAGGAGGAGTCTTTGCTCATCCATCTGCTGAAGAGCCTTTTTCAGCACTACTAATAGTGTGCAGCAGTTTCATCATCCGACCCTCACAAGTTAATACTTGGCTGCTTGCTTCCCCACTTTACCACGGCTATGTCGGCATGCGCTAAAGGCGATTTCTAAAATGATGTTGTGAATATCACCTAAATACTTTCAGAAGGCCATCTAGAATCAATATACTGCCTAGATTGAATTTGTGAAATACTAAACCATGTTTTTATATCACTTTTTGGGATATATAATATTTTACTACAATTGTGACTAATATTCCAGTGGTTAGTGGCATTATGATTCGTTTCCATCATGTCTTCATGGTGTACAAAAATATATTTCTTAGGTATTTCATGCAGTTTTGATACACATATACTGTATGTTTACATATTTTCATACAACATCCCGACTGTGATTCGATTTCCCAGATACGAAGAGGATATACTGACAGCCTGTTTCAGTGGAAAAACAGGTTTTCTTGAACAATACTGAAGATAATATGATATTGAGTGATCTGTGTTTTCCATTGCAACTGTTCCCAAGGTCCAGGTCTAGTGGAGTGACGTGTCCTCTGACTCTGATACGTGAGCAAGGCACAATTCAGCATGCAATGCTCCTGTAGCTTAGCGCCATTGCATGTTTTCGTAAGTCTCTCTCTCATTTTTTAAAAAGATTTTTCTTAAATAAATAACAAGTATATTTATACATTATACATAGACATGTATAAACTATATGCATTCCATATAACTTAAATAATAATTTATATTTATATATTTACAGGGAACAATAGAAAGACAGTGGCTGAGTTGCTGCAGTGTTTTTCACGTCCTGCGGTGTTTGCGTGAGAGTGCGCAGACGCACGAGGTGTCTATCCGTATCCAGCGCCAACCCACCCAAGTTTTATCCTGAGTGAGCGCGCGCACGTAAGACTGCGAGGTTTTGCACTGCGAGTTCCAGTGCTTCTCGTCAATCCCCCGACAGCTGCCCTTGTTGTGCTTGGCGGTCTCACATTTTGTCTCGTAAAAGTACTGCTTTATGTCTGTGCGTCCCACATTGACGGACCCTAAAACCGTGACCTGTCGTCCCTGAATGTCCACGGCCGTAGTCCTGTCGGTCACCCACTGGCTCTTGCTGTCACACACAGAGAACTCGGCCCTGTAGCTTTTGTGCTCGGCGTAGCGCTTCTGCCGTGTCTTGTTGCCCTCCAGGTTACTGACGAAGTCGTTCGTTAGGTAGAGTGGCGGCGGTTGCAGCGGAGGCCTTTCGCTCAGGAGCACGCGTGGCGAGTTGTAACGCTTGTGCTGACGCAGCAGCTCCGACGAGATGTCCGTCACGGGCTGGTAGACGGTCGAGCTGTATTTCTCCTTGTAGTCGGTCACTGCGGGTGTGTTTAAGGTGGGGGAAGGAAGCGCGTCGAGGACGTCCTGCTTCTGTCGGCTGCGGCTGATGTCGGCCTGCAGGAGCTTTATGATGAGCGTGTTGATGGGGTCCTGCGTGGGCCGCTGCTTGTCCATCGTAGAGGCTGAGATACCATAGAGGTACGCGAGGAACATCACGTACAGCAAGATGGACATCACTAGATTCACCTGTAAGATCTGTGAAGAAACAGGAGACGTTTTTGTAAGCACATACTGGGCAAAACGGTTTCCTTATAGTAGCAAACGAAGGAATTAACTTTAGTTTGTTGGCCCTGTAACAACACTGAATGCTCATTATAAACATGTTATATGGCAAAAACGGTGGCACTTCACAGTCAATGGGTGTGCGCTGAAAGATGGCCTGCGGTGACATGAAGTTTGCTGGGCCTCCCTTATGGCATGTTTATTTGAGCGCCTAGCGCATCCATTTGGCCCATTCTGTTTCATGACTAAGAGCAATAGCATGAAACAGAAACCACAAAATGCAAAACTCCCCGAGGCAAACTGTGTTTAAGAAGAGTCTGCTAAAGCAATGGAGTGCCAAGTGCACATGTTATAAAAGATTAGACATTGTTTAAAGTGTAATCAAGCTCTTAAAGTTTATTCACCTTTATAAGTTTTATTTCTGTACTGGTATTTGTTTTTCATGCATTTATAGTTAAGAGGGACTAGAGCTGTTCAAGAATGACTTACATTTTGACTTGTTCCTCATGCACACTTAAAAAAATACAGTGTGCAAGTCAACTTTTATAATACTTTATAATTCTTTTGAAGGATTAATATAAAAGCATGGAAAAACACTAAAGAAAAATTAAGCTCCATATGTTAACTACATTAGTTAACATGAACTAACATACTTCAAAAGCATTTATAATTTGTTTTATTAATGACGATTTCTACATTTACCACTATACATTTTTATACTCGAAAGTTGTATCTGTTAATATTATTGGTAACACTTTATTTCAATGGTCCACTTTAGACATTCTACTAACTATAAGTAACATTGCAACTACAGTACGTCAACTAACTCTCATTAGAGACGGTCTGCTTAATATCTGCTAACACTTTATTTTGATGCTCCGCCAACAAACAGACCTTCGACTGACTATAAGTAACTTTACAAGTACGTCAACTTATTCTACTTACCTGAACCCTAACCTAACAGTCTACTAAGGCTCAATCCCAATTCACCCCTTGCCCCTACCCCTTGGCCCTTAAAACAGAGTTACAAGGGCCAAGGGGTTGAAATATTCCCCTACGAAATGGAACGATACGTCATCATCAACCCGATACGTCATCATCAACCCGATACGTCATCAGTCGTCGGCGATGGCTCTGCCGTTACGGAGTTTTTACAGGATTTCTCCATGACAACGACTGACAATCAGCGCAGCTGCTCTTAACTTTGAGGAAACATGATGCTTATAACGTTCCTTCCTCGAAATGTATGTCTTTTCCGTTTTCGGAAAGGTAATTTAGTATACAATTTCTTAATTTCAATGACTTTATTATTATTATAAGAGTAAATAAAGTGCATGGTGGTGTCATCTGGCGCTAAATTCAAATGTTTAACTGTTTGCGAAGCCATGTCGCAGGTGAATCGCGATGTATTCTGCAAACTTTCTCGTAGCCCTCCGTTTGGAGTGTGCCTCTGAAAAATCTCCGTTTCGAGGGCTATGTAGCCCTACCCCTCGATCTCAACAAGAAGGGGCAAGGGGTGAATTGGGATTGAGCCTAAGTGTTCTACAGTTTAACTAATACTCTAAAGAGAGCAAGTTGACATAGTTAAGAATTTACTTCAAGTTAGTAGAATAGTCTAAAGTGGACCATCTAAATAAAGTGTAACCATATCATTGACTTGAGCCAACATGGAACAACTTTTTTTTTTATAATGTTAACAAAGATGAATAAATACTGAAACAAATATATTGCTAATTGTTAGTTATTGCATGCACTAATATGACCTTACTGAAAAGTGTTACTATTTCTCCTTTAAAGGCATTTTTTTTTTTCATTTTTGGGTGAACAACTGTATTCTTTAAACAGATTTGTGGCCTTTTTCCATATTGCATCAAGCAAGAAGGTCTGTCCTCTGTGAGCCGTTTGTAATATTTAGTGCAGATTCTCATGCTAAATAAGGTAAGACTTCTGGTCTCCCAAATAATGCTAACAATTACAGTTAATAGCCTTTCAATTTTCCTTTCAACAGTAAGCAAGCGGTAGGCCTTGCTTGGCAATTATCAGATGCATTACTTTCCTAGTACAGTATGACATGGGTACCAACTCATTACTACAGCTAAGCATCAGTAAAACTATGCATTCCTCCTCGGTTCTACCTGAATAACTAGACAGTGACTTGTTGCTTTCATGTTTTGTTTGAGATGAGCGTCTCCATTGTGTATTGGGATCACTCTAAATCATTTTGATAAAACAAGAGAATGTGAGCCACAGCGCCCGCTGCAAAACATCTCAGTGTCAAACCCAGAGTGGTTAAATTGTAAGTGACACTAAACTACAGACTCCAGTGCAAAGTGCAGCAACTGAAGACTAATGGTGACACTGATACAGTGAGACAGAGGTGATGCAGACAGTCAGCGGTTACAGCTGCTACATCAAAGGGCCATTTGGCAAGATGTTCAATGAAAATAAATATTAAGTGTGCTCCCTGATCTTTACGCTGCCCCGGGTACTTCTATATCTTTTTACTGAACCACATGTCTTTCCGTTGAAGAACCGCAGGGTTTGGGAGGTCATGTCATGGGATGCTCGGTTTGTTACATAAACGATTGGTTTTAAATTAGACTTTGGTGACGAAATGAAAACAAAGACTTTTTGTTCTCCAGGAATGTTTGATCTTATGTCATTTGACATTGCGTTCAGAGTAATTCACCTGAATTTTATGGAAACATATCTAATTCGTCATTGCTCCACAGTGCAAGTTTGCAGCCCATTGTTTGTGCATACTTTCAGGTCTGACCTTTGCTGTTTGGCAGATCTCTTTAATGGACAGGACAAGCATATGAGGGAGGGACCCACGGTGCTCAGAAGAGATTGTTAATCACTCTGTCCTCATTATCGGCCAATAAGCATCACTTTTTGGCAGGGGTAATGCCTGCAATTACACAATGCTTCAAAAAAGGGGCACGACAAAGTCACCTTACAGGCAGCGGCGTAGAAAATTACTTTCTGCATCTGTACTGGCTGGGTGAACATGACTTCTCCAAGAACAACATGTTCCTGGATCAACAACTTTTCACAACATTCCAATCAACCAACCAGATTTGAGGGACAAGTTTACAGTTTATGTCAAGTTTAGGCTTACAACCAGTGTTAAGTGCTTCTACTGCTTCTCAGTGTTATTCATCTATCATTTCCCTCCGATTTTAGGGATAAGTTATGGGTAGGGGTTAGCCTGGGAAAACCCAGACAACTTCCGGCAAATTTAGATTTGCTCTGAAAGTTAGTCTGGCAAAGAGCTCATTCAAGCCCATTTTCAATTCGTCGAAATCGAGGCACCAATCAGAAACGTTGGGGCCGGCTTTACACGATGACGACAGCGCTGGGATTTTGAAGCAGATTTTGTAGCCTACATTACAAAGATGGATGCCGCCGTCGAACATCACTCGTTCGAATCAGCTATCGCTTCTGTTTTAAGTGATTTGAACGTTTCCTTTTTGTTATAAACCGAGCAAAGAACAATATTCAGAGATGTTTCTCCGCCGCTCTGCATACGTCATCTCCTTCATCGCTCTGATTGGGTTTAGGTCCATCCGCGACGTCCGTTGGTGACGCCCCTCTGGAAATGATTTGTCTATGACGCTTTGCCAGACCATAATTCAGTTACAACTGAGAATGGTCTGGTTTTAACCAGGCTTGGTAGGGGTAGGGTTAGGTTTAAAGGTAGGGATATGGTTAGGACAGGAATGTTGTTCCAGGATCAGCAAAATATGTTGACCCAGGAACATGTCTTGGCAAAATCACGTTGCTAGAAGTTCACAACAATTCAACTTCAGTCCATTACTGAAGTTGTGATTGAATAATATTTCATCTTTAGTAAAGAATTTAGCAGGGCATCAGCTTAATTCCAGGGCGAGCTAATAAGTTAAATTTGATAAACCAAATCTAATTTTCATTTGCAGGAAAATAAGCTAGACACAAAGGGATACAATTTGCACTAAATTCTCAGGCAGTTAAGTCAAGAATCCAAATAAGGCCAAAAACTCTTTTTATGAGTATTCGTTCAAAATAAAATACACATTATTTTACCATAACAGCTTCTTAAAAATGTACATAGGCCTGTGACTTTACGTATAAAAAACAATCCATGATGTGACAGACAGCACGTGACAATGAATGTGTTTTGATTATAGATTTCACGAGTTCAGACTTACATACAATTAGAGGGAGTAAAGTTTAATGCGGATTTGGCGTGCTGTCCGAGGGGAGTGCTCCGAGCTCGGAATTCGGCCCGAACCCAGAGTACTCCCCCCGTATGTAAATGGTTAGGACTAGAAGAGTGGAGAAGGGGTGGTGGAAGGACGCTGCTAAACTGTCAATGGATCGAGGTGAGACTGCTGAATCTATATACACCTCTTATCATTGATTGCTGAGTGCTCTCCACCCGTGTTAATTACCTGAACGTGCTCCTCCCGAACTTTGTTAATAAAACATCATTTGTTGTAATGTTTACATGCATTTGCAGTGAACTACTTCACAGCATCTCTCTGTGTAACATTCCCATGTGCACTTTAATTGAGAACAGCAAACACTGAAATTTGCAATGCTTCGTCCTTGTCTACACTATTTTCGTCCCATACCTCATAAAATGCATTGCCTCCGGGGGGAAAGTGTACAAAAACACAAGATCCTGAAATGAACGTCAATTACTCTTCCCATTTGGGCTCATTCAGGTGAACGCAGGGTGGAAATTTACTTGGAACTCTGGACCAGGGTTGAACAGATAATCTTCTTCATCCTCTTAAGTGCGATCAAATGCTCGGCTATGTTTGTGTACGTCCAGTAAGCTTTTAAAAGGGTTCTTCTTCATTAAGCTGCAAAAATTGCCCATAATGAGCAACTCAGTCACATTAAAGTCAACTGGCTTCTCTTAAAGCGTAATTTATAGCACAACAAATGATGTGATAGAAACACATGCACTTGAATCTGTTTCAACC